GGAAATTGTTTAAAACAACGCAAAATATATCTAACGTTTAAAAAAAATAAGTTTCGAGGTGTAATTAGTAAAAAAAACAGTTTTTTTCACAGTGATTTCAACTAAAATTTGGTGATAAGCGACGAACCCATCTTGATATTCCGACAAATCTCATTAAAAATCAAAAAATCGTTAAATTTTTAGACAATGTGATGCATTTTATGTCACAGAGACTGGAAAAAAATGCATTTTTTTTGGTTTGGTTTATTGACCACGCGGAAACCGGTGTCGAAAGCAAAATGCAACGCTCCGCTAAACACCTAAGTAAACATAGTTTAACTTGAAAACCACACGTTTATTAAGCAAGACTTTCTATTTTACGGAATTTTTTGTGGTTTTTGAACGATTAAAAAATATGAAATTTTAATTGAGTTATACAAGGTGGGGCAAGTCTTATACGCACCCCCTGAAAACCTCCTTCTAACTGAAATAAAATTGTGAAAAAAATTGTAAGTAATTTTAGCATGTTAATAAACATTTTTTCATTTTTGAAATACGACAAAATAAAATATGTCGTTTATCTTGATTTTAGCCAACTTTTTTTTCACACCTTAACTCAAAAATCACACATTATACCTAATTCAACAAAACTTTCTATTTTAATGTTTAAAGCAAAAACATGTTTTTTTTAACATACCGAGTGAGTCAAGTTTTACACATTTCTCATGAAATCCCTATTTCTAAAAAAATTTAATTAAATTTTAACAGTTTTTTTCAATTAAAATGTTTATGGATTGACTTTGAAATTTGTAAGTAATGAGATATTTTGATATTTTTCTTATTTTATAAAACAAATAAATTGATAAAACAATTTTTTTCTTCAATAAGGTTAGTTAGTTTAATAACATAAAGAAAAAAATCAGAATTTTAGTTTAAGAAGAAAGAGATGTTTTAAAAGTGTGACTAAAACTTGACTCACTCTGTATGTATTTTCACTATCTAAAAAGTCATTGTTTTTGTAATTGTTTCGACTTGTTTATTTTATTTTTTCTAAAATAGAAATTTGGGTAAAATTAATTAACTACTTCATAATACAATTTTTTATTTTTTTAAATTTTTTGTTACATGTGTAGATTCTAATTAACAAATTTGTTTATAATAATTGTTTACTAACTACTCATTTTTTGACTTAATTACATATAATTTTCCTGATAACTATGCATCGCATGATGACGATTTCTCTTTATACTCCTATAAGATAGGAAATTAAATCTTAAAGTTATACAGGATGTTAAAAAAAGATTGTAAAATATTTCAGAAAGTAATGAAAAAATTCTAAAAATTTTCACATTAGATATTTCCGAAACCGTTATGTTTATTAAGACTTTTTTGTTTATTTTGATCCATACTATTATTACCTCCTTAAATATTTTACAATCTTTTTTCGACACCCTGTAGATTGATTTTTTTCTGTTCAATAGAGTAACATTAATTTTTAAGAGCAAAAATACTGAAATGTGTTATTAAACCGTGTTGTTTATAATTAAATGAGAAACCTTGGAACAAAAAGCAATAAAAACAACAATACGAAATAAAAATTTCCTCAAACTTGTGATAATTAAAACAATTGTGTAGAAATATTATTTTTACCGAAAAAAACCTGAAAATCTTCACAATTTGCATCACCGTTAATTTTCTTATTGATCGATGAAAAATTGAAAAGAAGTACAGTTAGGAGTAAATGAATTGCTTGAAAATGCTAACCCATAAGCCTACTTGAGTAAAGAAAGAGAGATTGTTTACAATCAAAGAAAGAATTCCAGTAGGTGGGAATCGAACCATTTGATGGTTCTAATTATGGGTTAACAAAAACTGACATTTTTTTATGTCAAAACCTTGCACACCCAGATTGACAACAAAGATAGTTATTTCAAAGGTCACTCAAATCACTTTCGAAAATTTAAAAAAAAATTTGATTCGTCATTTTGTGACCCTTTCCTGACATTTCGTGATGTGGGTGACAATTCAACGAGGAAATTCTTCTAACGGGACTCGAGTTTTACCACATATTTTGCTCTTTTGCAACAATATCGACATCTGATTGGAATATTTTACGACATCGGATTGGGAAATGGGAATTTATCGGAGGCATGCAGTGAGAGCGATGTGATAATGCCAACCTTTTGTAACAAAATTTAAAAAATTTTTTTTTTAAATTTTTGTAATTATACCGGGTGTACTATCTAATAATCACATTAGATTTACTACAAGTTCTAACAATGATATTACTTTGAAAATTGGCACATAGCCATAATCGGTTAGGTGCTACTCAATGACAATACTTTCAAAATGGTGGCACTTCCGGTTATACCGGAAGTGGATAGCAACTTTGTTATTTTACTTATGAAGCTATGTTTTTTATCACGTTTTTGGATTCTCCGAGATATTCTAAGAGACTTTTTATCAAAATTCTCATTTTCAAGTTTTAAGAAAAATTGTAAATTTTAAAAATCGATCTCT